CAAGTGAGCACACTCCGTTGCCTGTAGAAGCAGTTCCAGACTCGAGCTTCGCAATATTCGGCAGGAGCGGACACAATGCAGTCGGCCCGCGATGTGCGTCGAACACAAAAGCATTTGCTATAAATGATAGAAAATATTGTTTACCTTCTTTTGACAATTTAGTGAGAGTCTGTGAGAAAGAAAGAGGCAAGTATTGGAAATTGAGTATGACAGATCAATTCTTGATGCGTAAGCCATTATTCACTCACATATTTTAGTAGGAGGCAGAAACTTACGATTTGTAATGTTTTTTGCTTGGAAGCCTTGCATTTCTTAGATCACGAAAAAGTAAAATGAGGTAAATACAAATGGCAAAATAAAAATTAAAATTCAATATTTTACTTTAAAGTGTTATGTTTAGTGGGCATTCCCTTAGCCTGCTTTGGATCATCAAGGTGAGTTCGCTGCCACTGAGCGTGTTTGACAGAAGCCTTTCTCCGTGTTTGCCCTCAAACTCTACAAACTGCGACTCAATCCTACCAAGAAGACTCGATTGTCTCGCCTGATTACACGCTTGACATATTCTTTCTGTTGCTCAGTCAAGGTTGCATTCTAGTCAGGTCATTAGTAACTACCTGTCAGGTCATTCGTAACTACCTGTCAAGTCATTCGTAACTACCCGTCAGGTTATTCGTGACTACTTGTCAAGTCATTCGTAACAACCTGTCAGGTCATTCGTAACTACCTGTCAGGTCGTTCTTAACTAACCATCAGGTCGTTCGTAAATATTTTCGAAGCTTCCAGTAATCTTAATTATATTATTCACGACGTTTCAGTTCGGGATACATGCAGCCCAACCTTAAACATTTCCGTGCAAACGGCGCACAAAGTTTGTTCGATTGAACAATCGCAGAACTTAGATGGTAATAAATTTATTCTAAGGATAATAAAATCACTCGCCTCAAATGCCCACAAATCTCGATGAAGGACTTTTTTCAATGAAAGATAGTCAAGTAGGTAAAAGTTTTTTTTTTTTGAGGAAGATTTCTTTCGTATATTTCTGAAGTAGCTTAACTAACAATTTTATTTCGAGAGCAATAACATTTTTCTGTTGAAATTTCCGGTTTTATCGTGAAATTGATTCTTTAGTCTATTTTGAAAACCCGCATTAGCTTATTTCCACATGTTGTCTCGTAATTTATGACTGAAGTTTTCCCAGATCTTCGTATAGAGATTGTCGGACGGAAACTGAGACACAACTTCATGATATTCAATTCAAAAATCATCCAAGATCTAGACTTTCCGAATTCTTTTTTTATATAAGGTTATTTCTTACAATTATTATTCCTTGACCTAATTGTTTCCATGCTGTTCATCTTCTTGGTACATCGTTAAACATATGGCGAGGTCACAAAATGAAATGAGTCAAGTGCTAAGCAGAATGCTGTACATTTTAAAATAGAAATTCATTCATAAATTGTTTTGTATTTATAACTAAGCGCCATATATGAGTGATAATTTAGGAGCGCTGTGAGGCAAAATCTCATCAGAATATATTCGGTGCTATGCTGCGTGTCAATTGACTAGAATTTGTCATGCATCGATAACTCAGCCTTGAAGCTCCAACAACTGCTGACAAATATAAACCTTGTTTGCTAAATCCATTTCGCTCGTCTAAATCGCGCGTATTCTGGCACAAAAAAAAATTGAACAGCAACTTGCAAAGTGATCCATATTTACTCCTGGTAAAATACATATTCTTGCAATAGAAGATGACGAGAAAAGCAAAGGGCTTTACCTCAAGCTGTGACAGGAAATCTCTAGAGCAAATATCGAAGTAAAATATACAAACATCGCACTGCTCCAGTTCCATTGAGAGCGCACCGTGTCCTGCCGACGATATGACTTGCAACATTCGTCATGTGTTTACGACAGCCCGAGGTCGGACTCTTGCTTCGAGCTGCTAAGAAGATGAACAAATAGAGTCGTGACTTGAAAGTGTTTACCATGGCTGACCGCCTGAACAGTAATCAGGACCATGTCCTACCGAGCCATGCCGGCTATTGGCATCGCCATTAACACGATCGACGTGCAGGTATTGACGTAGCCGTTATTCTGCATCAAAAACTCAGCTTTTGTGGGAACATCTGCGATTAGCGCCAACGTGGCATAGGTACTGTGATCTGGTAAAGCTCGTAGGGCCACGGCACGCTCGGTGCAGTAAAGCCTGTTACAGGTGCTAATTCTGATTAGCGCCAACGTGGCATAGGTACTGTGATCTGGTAAAGCTCGTAGGGCCACGGCACGCTCGCTGCAGTAAAGCCTGTTACAGGTGCTAATTCTCTGCCGTCCTGAGCTGAATGCAAACTATTAGATCTGCAATCGTAAATCGCTTCTAGGAACGCGTGAAAGTTCAGCGGCTGAGAGGATTCCTGAGCCTACAGTTCATTTCAGGTGTCCCATTTTCATCGGTAAATTTCTTTGAGTAGTTCTTTCAGGTAATTTCAAGTTTTTGCATGAGGATATTATTTACTTTCTAGATTAGCTCATTTTTAGCGCATTTTCTCATTTATGGAAAAAAATGGCACGCAACTACCTAGAGCACTATTGTGCTCGCCATGTCCGTCTGTCCGTCCATGACTTCACGTTTTAGTCGACGAGAAAATGCGCTCTCTGTCACTCACTGCAGTGAATACTGACTACTGAGTTATATTTTTTATATCTTCGAACAGAATAGCGTGTGATAAAATACTAGGCTCCCTTCTTGTGAATTGTAAATTACTCCGTCGCTGTCTACCAGAAACAACAATCCACCACTGATGATATGATCCTGAACCCCAGTCACCAATAAACCTACTTACAAATTTCGAAATTATAAATTCATTTTATACTGGATTCATTGAACAATAATTACGTCCTATGTCCCGAATCCAAATTAAACTTTAAATCAAAATTAACTTTGGAAATAGTTTGTTCTTCCAGCGATTCATGTTCATGATATGTGTGCGAGTAACATATGGAGATGTCGTAGCAAATATAAATACAATATATATTTTTAAAATATTGGTCTGCCTTGTCAGTCTAAATAGCTGGGTGGCAAGCTAAGTTGTTTTTCTATTATATTGATGTAAATAGCGAATCATTTTTATTTAGCGTTGAACTCATGATTTATCCTCCTCAAAAGTCAAATTCATTGATGTTTGCATTGAATTTTTATTACTGTCAACCATGTACGCTGAATTATAATCACATAAGTCTGTTGGTCAGCCATCTATATCGCTACACCCTCGGCATCCGTCCATTTATCGATGACTTTTTTCGATTGTGAAGATAAATAATCGTTAAAATTAATAATATTAATTTAAATTTAATTGTATTACAGTGATGAATTTTGAGTGCCGTCTAGATTTCTTGAATTTGATGAACGTTATGCATGTTCCTGCCCCTCAAACTATCGTTACGGACGGTGAGCTTAGCTCGTAAGAGGAACTACGCAGGGGCAGAGCGAGAGTTAAAAAATATAACTCAGTACTCACTGTACTGAGTGACAGAGAGCGCATTTTCTCGTCGACGAAAACGTGAAGTCACTGACGGACAGACGGACATGGCGAGCACAATAGCGCATTTTTTCCATAAATGAGACAATGCGCTAAAAAAGAAAAGGAATTCTCGAATATACTGTAGTTAGCAGTACCTGCTTGGTGACTCATACGATGTGGACGGATTTAACCATAATGCATATTTGAGTGATTGAGGGTTTTTGTTGGCATTTTGTGTCCAAAGAATCAGAATTTCTTCAAACATCTAAGTTATATTTCTGAACACAAAAAAGTTCTGACCAATTTTCTCTGAACACTCCAACTTCAGATCAATTTCAGAAATATTTGGTCTCCGCGGCCAAAAATTAGAAAACTTCATGCATCTCTATAATATTTTGCGGAATATTTGGCAACAATTTTTCGCCCATCTGGTCTTAACTGTACTAGTAATATTTTTTAGCTCCATTCGATCATTGGATATAATCTTTTTTGGTGTTTTGAGTTCTAAATAGTAAAGAACTCAATCAAAAATTTATCCTTGAACTCTTCAATTTTTCACAGAAGGTAAGTTTTTTCGGTAAATGCGACATTCAGCGATCGACATTTGCTTCGGCCGAGGCATTTTGCTGTTGAATCAGGCCTCAGCGTCTAGAAGTATTTACCTATGGCGGCTACAGAGCCCGCAGCATTGGACGGCGAGCGTCAACATCGCCAAGACACGTACCCAAACAAGCAAATCACCGGATGTCAAAACTCGATCAGTTTGTCTTCTTTTGTCTTGGTGTGTATGAGAGAAGCGTGAGGTGCCATTTCTTATGTGCCCTCAAACGCCATGACGCCTTCAGCACAAAAGCCAGAGCTGCACGTCAACATTTAATCAACCTGCTCTTGCTTGCTCGCGCAGTTGAAGATTCGCACTTTTGCCATTCATCAAAGGCTTGAAGGCTAAATTAATGATCCCTCTGATATTTGATCTAAGCTAATTCTAAAATTCCTGATATTTGTTCATCGTGATGAAAAATTCCACAAAGGCGAGTTGCGTCTGATTCATTTGAAAAATTCTGCTGTCATTGAAAGTGCGTTTAATCTTCGGGTGAATGTAATTTTGCATGCATTATCATGTAAAAATTATATTATTTTCCATTAACACTACATTGTATCATTAACCCTACTCTGTTATTCTTTAATATTACTGTCATTGCTTTCAACTTTAGGCTTTTGATGAAAATGAAAATTTGTTTGAATTATATTAAATATATGACTGCCTTTCTACCTCATATATATCATAAATTTAGGAATTACCCATATGAGATAAATAAACTTTTATTTGGTAAATCGTTGGAACTCTAACACTTTCTCGTTGAAACATTTTCCTATCATTCGTGTAATTTGACTTAAAATTATTTAGGTCAAAAAATTACCGAATACACATGGATATAACATGATTTTTCCATTGATAAATTGGAAATTTTATTTGTCACAATTAAACCAATTTGTCCCGTTCAATTAGATTTGCGTCTAATCATATTATATAATCCAGCCAACTGAAGTTCTCCTTATGCTGTATGTAGATCGCAGTTTACTGATTAATTCTGAATTGCATAGTCGTTTGAATTATTTACGTGCTATAAAATAGTGGTAAGTATGTAAAGTGCTTGTATATTTCAATCAATAAAATTTCACGCGATGTCACTTAAATTTCTTGGATGGAGATAAATAAAAACTCCACGGTTTAATATCCGCTGATTTCAGTACCATCATCATTTGCTCTTGTATCTTTGCTCAGGTTAAATACTCTTCAATCTTGTCTAATTAAAATTATTGCATCACTTTTTCATTAGGTTCTGACGACTATTTCGAGATTACTAAATGTCTGTAAGTTGAGAGCTTCAAAATTTTCAAAATTCTTATAGAATCAAAAGACATTAACGGATGTGGAGTTGTTAGTGCGAGCTTAAATCCTTTAGAATATGCATGATAGCATCACTGTCATGTGGATCTTGCTTACGTCTGATCTTACAGAAATGAATAGCGTATTGTTGGACAAAATATCAACGTTCCTGTTATGAAGGTATACTAAAAGCATTTTTCTTCTGTTTTATTTTGTCAATAAACAATTAAAATTCAATTGATTAAACAACAGTCTCTATAAGTAAGATATTTTCCTTAAACGTACTGAGCAGAATACGAAAGAATAGCCCGTACGAAACATAGGCGACATACGAAAATTCTTCTAATTTACTACATGAAGAACTAGAAACAATACAAATTTAATATTTATTGCAATAAATCCCCATACTGATTCCGCCAAGTGATTTATCTTAAGAATATGCTCTAGAATTTAAATTGCACTTAATTATTATGGCACACTGTATTGCAATGTCAATTTGGATTGCTGTACCAAAAGGCACAAGTTTACACTAAAAGCATAACCGCCACTATGGTTAAGTGATGAGGCCATCACCTGCAGTCTCGAGCTTCATTATTTTCAAGGGCACTTCAAACTTGGCATCCGGGAGCCTCGTTGCGCACTCAATGCTCGTCTTGAGATCCACGATCTCAGAAGTGCCTTTCACGAGAATCTCTCTCTTCGCACGTTCATCCAAAGGCTCCTCGTCTGCGTCGTCATCTTCGTCTATTTTTCCTCGCGTTTCATCTTTATCGTCCTCTCTCTCACCAATCCCTCGATGGAAGTCATCCTTTATCCCTTGATGCCTCTCTTCCTCGTGTGGCTGGTAAGTGATGTCGCGCTTTGCCATTTTTCGCTTCCGACGAACCGTGAGATCGATGGGCTGTTCCCCCGACGACGTAGATGTGGTAGAAACGCTCGTTGCAGAAGACAACACCGACGTCGTGACGTGCTGTGGTAAACTCATTGCCAAAGTAACCGCTGTTGGGGAAAGGCCTCCTAGTGAGGCCATAGGCCCACAACTGCTTTCTCTTTGAACTTGAAGAATTGCATCTAAAATACGCTTCTTGTTGCTCGAATCTCCCTTAATTGCATCATGCAAAGGATTCGGTAGCAAAGAATTTCTCATTTCGGATGGCATGAATACGGGATTTTTGAAAGGGTCTAAAGAAAGATGAGTGCTTGACACTGGCGGCGAATTGTATGGGGGGTAAAATTTTGCTAACGATGGGAAGGGAAGAATTGATGGCCATACAGGAGGGTAGGATGGAAACGGGAAAATATTATTATTTAAAGGCGTGTACAGAATATCATCTCTCGGAGGACGGTGAGGAAACAATCCAGGAATACCATGGAAACTATTAATGACCGAGCCTTCTCTTGAGACTGGAATATTTGCTGATATTTTGCTGGTGGATTTCAAGAAAGACAACCTTTCCTCTTCTGTCATGGGAGTTCCCGAGTCTTCAGATAATCTGGAATTTTTTTGAGACTTTGGTGTATGACAAACTGGAGACCGATTGTCCGACGATCTTTCAGACGTTCCGTCAGAAACAACCTTATGAACTGAATCTATTTCGTTGGCAATAATCTCTCTTTTGATTTGAGAGCAGGTAGTGGAGCATTCTGTGTTTTGACCAACACTAACGCTCAATAAATCTTTCGACGAATGAGGTGACGTAGACTTAAGAGGCAAACACTCACTAAAGACAGGAGTGTCCTGAAGCCTTCGATCCCAATCATATCCATTGCCAGAATTAATTCTATTCTCAGACTCCGAGGATGCACGACGTACGCGTTCGAACTTCACTTCTATGCGTCGCACGGGATCACACTCAGGCGTAGGCCTCATCATGGACTGGACCGCATTTGTGTCCAGGAGCCGAGGAGGTTGTAAGTTGTGCGACCTTCGGATCGCTTCAAAAAGTTGCTCCCGATACGTAGCCTCAAGTTCACTGTCCGGCATACCTACTCCTCTTCTTATAGCGTTCAGGGTCTCTTCTTTAATGCGGCGTTCAACCTATTGGATAATTTGTACAGATCAAACACCCTGATTGCATTGAATTGTTTTCATGAGCTGACCGTAAATCATACAATGTAACTCAAGTCAGCACGAGTGAAAAACAATCTATTCGCCCATCCTGGTTCTTTACTAATTCGATCGTTTCAAAAGTCGTCAAGATAACTTAATACGACTTTTGAGGTCAAAAATCATTATATTTCTTCAAAGCGAGGAAATTCTTCTTCTCTCTATAAGTTCATAAACAAAACGTCTTCAGCCACGCAGTATCTAACTTTCAGATAAGCTGTACACAGCACTCTTCGGTGTAATTCATTTAATAAATAAAGTATATATTCATCAAAATTTGTATATGCTTGCTTTTTTACAATTAACTTAACAATCGACGTATAGTCACAGACTATGCAACCGACTACCCATCATTAATAATTGAATGTTTCATTTAACTCGAGTTAATTCTACTCACCGCGCCCATTTGCCCTACACCGAAGCTGTGCGGGCTCCGCTGCTCCGACATCGCTGCTGCTGAGGTCACAAGCTCCTCGCTAACGGGAGTCCTTATACACACGCCGGACCCTGAGGAAGTGATGGGGATCCTAGCAGTGGGAGAGATGCTGTGATCTGCAGGAGTGAGGGGCGCCTCCATGCGAAGAGCGTCCCTCAGTTGAGTGTTTACGAAGGGCAAGGAACCGTCCTGCAGGGTAGGCGTCACAGGACTGCGGAAGGAGGTGAACTGGCCTGCAGAACTCGAGTACCCACACTGTTCTTGTAGCAGACAGTGGATCTTGAACCAGTTTGATCGCCGGCCATATCTGCTAACAGCCATTGATATAAACGGTCATTAATAAAAATATTGCAACACTTGTACTTGCATCAATGTTTACACATTCATTTTCTAAATTAATACAAATTGAATAGGCAATAAATAAAAAATTTTAAAGGGTCTTCATCTCATGCGCGGCTGATGTTGAAAAGTATTATGCACTTCCTCGCTGATTCGTTTATTCATTCGCGCTAATTCATTTATTTGGGATACTAAAAACTGGGGTACGTAAAAGAACAACATTAGAAGTACTTATAGACAGTCATCTCCTTAAATAATTTATCTTAAATATGCGAAAGTTTGTGTATGAAATTACCTCGATCCAGTCTTGGACATGCCGACAACCAAGCATTTCCTCAAACGGCACGCCTTGCATGACGTTCTGTTTTGTTTGTTTATTACGCATTGTCCTCCGTTCTTGCATTCGTGTATTTGCGATAAATTGTTGTATGTCCTCCCGAAGAAACTCTGAAATAAAAAAAAAGAAGACTTGCAATACAATTTTTTTCCTGTTGAACAAAAACCAAAAGAATAGATTACGCGAAAACTGTATAAATTATCATGTTCCGAGCAAGGGACGAAAGTTTTGCTGAAAATCATTTAAAACGCTTTAACAGTGGTACACCCTAGCATGGTAAAAACCTCGCGCTTCATAATTTTTTTATCATGGCTGTTTTTTTCTTAATTCAACTCATTTTAAATTAACAATTCTATCAAATGAATGACATTTAATTCCCAGTGGTCACAATATTAAAACAAACTTTCAAGTAGGATATTAAAATTTGCTGAAATGGCTAAGCATGAGCAGCCGTGGAATACAAATAGGCTTGCCACCCTCCATTTGTAAGTGAGCCGTTTGCGAGCAAGCCAAAGTAGACAAGATGAAGTCATATCCTGCAGCAGCCAAGCGAAGTCAACATAATGTCCCTCTAAATTAAGCCATAAAACTTGCCCTTTTCTCGAGCTCTGGCTACGTGAATGTAAGAATCAGAATTTATAGTATCCTGAGTTTAATGGAAGAGAGACCCTGAGAGCGACGTTCCCATGTGTCTGTTATTCTTGTCATTTCGTATATGAAGCTCGGTAAATCAGATTGCTCTCGTGGCCATTGTAATCCCGACAGTGTTTGCAATCAAGTTAGAAGCTCAAAGGTTCTTCAGCCGCGAAGAACCTGCGAGGTGGCTCATTCCAGCTCAAAGGAAATCTTACCTTTGACTCTGGCAAAGCTCAGGACAGCTTGTCTCCCTGCTTTATGACTCAGTTAGCGCATTGTGCTCATCGGTCCCTTTTGCCTACAGAATTATTTCCTTTGGTCCAGTGCAACCATTGGGCTCTAATGCCATGGCAATCTCAAGAAACAGGATGTTGCTTGGGTCGATGACACAGCTCCTCCTTACCTAAATATTATTGCTCACTACAGTTCTCCAGCTAAACTAAGCTATTTAGGTAAACGTTTTTTCATTGTTTGGTTCGCATTAGATGCAATGTTTGGTGCCAAAAAAAACACATTTGATTTCAAAATTGTAGTTTGCCGCACCCACGTTCTTAAATTGTCGTTAAAAATCTGCATAAATACCCTCACCATCAATCTTCTCAAAATATCCCTCACAGTAACATACCTCAAGTCCCTCCCATCCTTCACTCCTTGCATGCACCCTTTACCGCAACTTACCTAACATCCCTCACTTCCTACACCCCTTAACGTAACATACCTCATATTCCTCACTCCGTACACATACCTTACATCCCTCGCACGTGAAGGCCCCAAAGTGGAAGCCAGCTGCTGGCTCCGCGCACACTTTACACAGCTGGTTCATCTGCACGACAGAATAGCACACGTGGCAGTTACTCTTAGGTTGGAGAAACAGTTGCAAAAAAATAACTTTAGGAAAATTTCATCCTTTTTGGTCAATAGAAGTTCTTTTCTTGTTCAGTCTCTTTTATTGAATAACATTGCGGTCTAAGTTAAAACGACAAATGCATTTAATGAAAAATGTCTGTAATGAATGCTCCGACCTAATTCTTCGATATGATTCTCGCAGACCCAGCGAACTATAACATTGATGGCCCAGAGCCCTCACTTGACTAGCTTCATTCAAGAACAACCCAAGTTATTCTTTCCAATTACACAACTAAAAATATCCTTCCTTTGCATACGAAGATGAATTCCCTGCACTGCAAGCTCATCTACATATAACTCCATATTCACCTTTGACATGTATTGAATTAAATCGGCTTACGTGACACAGAGTTTACCATGGGGTTTTGTACGGAGCGTCGTATATATGGAGATAATGCCACAACTTTTGTGGTGAAATGAACGGGCAGAGAGCGAGCAGCGGATCAGACTTAGATCCCTGGCATCGAGTTTGCATGGCATTTTGTGGCAGGGAACTACAAATAATATCCAAATTCTAAATGATACTAAACTTTCTATTTCCACTCATTTTATTTCATAAAATTTTTTCTTATCAATGTAATGGAATTTGATTTTTTTTAGTTTAGATATCAGTCAATCCGAGTTGTTTCTTTACTTATCTATTTAGGTTCTCCGAAACGGCTCAGTCTTTTAAAGAATTCAGATCTCTGAGTTTTATGGTAGCATGTTGAGTGTAATCGCAATTTTTCACATGTACGCTTCACGTAATCTTTCTGTTTAGACCTTCAGTCATGGGACCGAAGTTTACATGCAGATAAATTGTCATTCGTAGTTCAAACCTCTTTAGTGGCGAAATACTTCGGTGAGTTTAGTGCTGCAACTTATTAGTCTTTCATTATTGATTCTGATATGATATTCTTTTGGTTAACTTGGATTTAATTTGGCTTATATTTGTTTATCTTGTGTATTCGATAGCTAATATTTCTGATGTCATTCATACAGAAACTATGTTTTCAAGATTACCCAAATAAAACTCCTTGAAACCTGAGTGTCGAAATTTCGCCTAAGCCACTAGCCTGACTAGGGCTTAACATTGAGTTTTAGAAGGCAGTGAATCAGGCTTTCTAAAGTTGATTTCACGCAAAATAAGTTTCTGCGAATGTTATCAGTTCTTTAGATACATATGCTTCGAAAAAAATATCCTGAAAACAGCTTTAATCACGTGCAAAGAAATTCCTTTGTAAACGTAAAGTTGATAGTTCCTTCTATCAATGTTAACACTCGAAATTGTTATTATTAATGTGAGTGACGGATTTAATTGTAATGTCACCATATTATTAATGACAATAAAGGTAATAATAGTTAATGATGCTAATAAAAATGATGTATTATTTATCATTATTATTATTATTTTATTATCATTATTAGTATTATTATTATTATTATTATTATTATTATTATTATTTTCATAATAACCATTAATATCATCATTACAATCACAATTATTATTGAGAGAACAGCAGTAGCAGGCACCCTGGATAACCTGTCCCCCGCCCTGTACGCTGCTAATGCATGTTGGCCCGCGGTGCCGACACCGTGTCACGCAAGGAGTGGTCCGTACATGGCGGAGGCAGCGCCGTATTATGCGACAGGATATGCCGCCCCATGCTCTGTTTACTTGACACTTTTTAGGGCTTCTGTTGACTTGCCAGGTATGGAACTGAATTCCCATTCTTATTTCTCGTGCTCCAGAGATCGTTAAGGACCATGCCAGACGCAAATCATAATAGCAACAATTTTAATTTCTAATTCTTTATGGTCCTTGTTTAAATGCTCGTGGAATGATTGAATGAGATGAACTTCTGATCTTAGACCAAACGTCTTTTGACTCATTATTGTTCATTGCTTTAATTTTTTTAAACATAAATTTTTCTGATAATTCTCTTGGGTAAGTGAAAGGTATTCTAAGCTTCAGTTAATATTGATAGTAACAATGGAACATTTCAATGTCTTTAACTACATTTCTATTTCTTCCACGACTTCCGTGCATCAGAGTCAATAATTATCCCTGCTTGTTATGGCCTCTAAATTATTATGTTATTGTCTTCAGAGGAATTCGAAACTCTTGTTCGAAGTAAATATCTTCAGATTCCATAAACAAGTAGTCAATCAAAGCTATATTAAGATAAATTTAAATATCTTTGTCAGTTGAGATGCTGCTTTTGATAATTATGATTTGTTATAATCAATTCTTCATAGTTGAGGTTCATTATTTAAACTCCTAAAACTTGAAAAGTAATAGCGATCAGTTATTTCGATTCAAGTTAATCTCTGCATTTTGGAGTTTTCAGCCCAATATTTTATATTATTTGTTAAACAAAGCAAACATATTTCCACCCTACTTGTATAATTTTTCACACCGCACAAACTTTGAAAATAATTTTTGGAAGAAAATTTATGAGTATTAAGCTCAAATAATTCAAAATTTCTTTATTTATAAAAAGAGCCAGTGCTATACCTACGTCATTTCTTGGCCTTGTTGCAGGATTATTTCATAGACCATCAAACTTTAATCAATTTTTTTTCTGACGATCAGCTATACTATATTCATACAAAAAACACAGTGATTTTTGAAATCCGTTGATATACAATAGCTTATATGAATCATCATTTCCGTATTTACTACAAAAATCAAACTCAAGTGTAGAATTCAGGATTACAGTTCTTTAGCATTTCACCACCTCTCGCTGAGGTGTTGAAACTCTGCGGTCTCGGGCGACGAGCTCGAGGGAACTCGATCAACATCGGTGGTAACAAAATAAGTTGATTAGCGGCAGCTCGACAAATGGCCTCGCAGTGTTTGATGTTCCAGTTGGCATACGGAGGAGGAAACCTCTCTATTTTCAAGGATGTCCTACTGGCATTCATGCTTTGCTTCTTGCCCAACTTGGAATTCAAATAAAGTACGAATACCTAGCGTAAGGTACTGTTTAGGTCAAACTTGAGTTAACATTTTTTTAAGTGGATAGAAGAATTTTGATTGCATGCATACCTCATTCAGCCAAAAAGTCAGTCGTGTATCTATCTATACGTGCTAGATTTGTTACAATTATTTTGATTTTGTACGTTTCTCTAATCAAACGCGAAATTTTAAAAGTCTCACTCCCTCAAATTTTCAGTTTAAAAAATTCATGACTGATTGAAAAGCTACCTAACTCTTATGCGATTCTTGTCAAAAATTGTGCGTTACATTAATACAAATCTTTACCCATGGAAGTTCTACTGACTATCTTTTTGTGGCTAAAAATGATTAATATATTCTTATGTAGATTATTATCTAATGTGCATTGCAGTCACTGGGTCAGATTAGTGGCGAATTTGATTGTAATGGTCGCCATCAAGGACCTTCAGCCGCCGTATTTAATGACTGATCACTTTTTTTTATTAACAAAAATGGCGGCCATCTTCACTTCTAGATATTCATAAGTTGAAAATAAAATGCTGCATCTCAGTGTTCCGTCATCTACTAACATTCAACGAGACGATGCTGATCGTTTCTTTAAGGCACAATAAATGCTAGTTTTCTTGCTCAGGATACGAAGAGGAATCTACTCGTTTTGTCGCTCACTATAAATTAAATTCTCTATGAAACACCAGTGCAAGTTAGTTTTCAACTTCCAGTATTTCCTGCCAATTATTTTAATAATACTGAATCACAATAATATTGCAAAACGTTTTTTAGTTCCATGATCATTTTTTATTAGTGTAAAAGGCTTCATTAATACATGAATCTTCTTGTTTCAGTACCTGCCATCTTTCTTCTGACGAATTTTTGAACCATTTTTTTAGCTTGCTCGACGAAAAGAGCCTTCTTTGTCATCGCTCAGGCACACTTGACTGTCTCACATTATTCAATTGCACACGCCAGTGGCTCAGCTTCTCTTTGCCGAGATATTCAAAGCAGTCGAGCTTGATATTGCTTTTGATCGAGCCACCGAATATCCCACTTGGCCTTTACAGTGAGGGAACAGGAACATAAGTTCTTTTCAGGCCACCGAACCAACATTGCACTTCAGAGGTCTCCTCCGTCGCCCGAAGCTCTTGAAACTTTTCGCAGTCTCACTGGTGAAGACGTGTTGCATGCTGCGCTGTATGCACCGCCAGCTTGGTCTTATTGCCATCATGATTCAGTAAATATTATTGTAAATGACTCATCTATAAAATGAGCTACTGTCATCATTCGCGAGTGAGTTGTGGACAGAAAGCATACATTGATACAACACCACAAACAAAAATGAAGTTCCTTCGACTACCAATCTTTTATGAGACGAGAATGACAAAAAAATGTTTTTCTATATAATTTGATTTTTCAAACCCATCCATACCACCGATTTTGATTGTCAGCGAATGTACCAAATGTAATCGAGAATAATGAAACTAGACCGAATTTTTTCATAATAATTTTTTTCATTTTACTTAAAAGGTTAATCACACATTCTTTGAAACTTCTCAGTTTACGAAAGATTCAGCAAAATCTCATTTCATTAGAAACCGCGTACAATTATTTAACCTTCTGATAAAAATCTAAGCAAGATTCCTTCCCACTGACAACGGTAGAAGCTATGATGATTATTCGCGTTCAATGATGTCGGCCATTATCGAAATTGCAAGTCATTCCAGATCTTCCATTACTATGCGTTTCTGGAATTATGACTGAGAGTTCACCGTTTGCTTTCGGTTGGATTAATTGATTGTTTCAATTTAATGATGATGAATATAAATGATGAGGTTGTTAGGCTAGAAAACGATCAACACCCAGCTCACCGACTTGACCATTTGAAGATTGGTTGAGAGTAGAATCTTCATATATTTTAGTGTTTCATTTTTTAACGTAAAATATAGTTCCCAAAATCAATCAATAATCAAAATTTTTGCATAAATTTTCCAAACCTCAATTTCTATCAAGATGTTGAATGATATTTTGCTGAAGAATAAAAATAAATCCCGGATTTGAAACTGATCCTACGTAGGAACAGTTTTAAAAAATTTCGTTGAGGCTTCTTTTTCAAGAAAGATAAAATCTTACAGTAGATTTAACTCCATCTGTTGCGTGGATGTTGTTCAAATTATGGTTAGTTCAGGAAAAAATGTAACTTTAGATTTTCTCGCTGCTCTCATCCTCTACATAAACAAGCACAGAAAAGATCCAGAGAGAATACGAAGCCTCTAGCCAAAGCGTCTCAAGGCAAGCATTTGTGCTACTGTGAACTTTATTTTATTTTTTAAGTACAATAGCTCAAGATCCTCTGTTTTTGCTCGTGGATTTCACCGTTTTTTCACGCTATGACCTGAGTTGTGTGTGACTTGATTCCCTAGCAAAGGCTTCATATGCTGAAGCAAGGACAGAAGTTTTGACGGGTATTCACGTCGAGGAACGTTTTGAAATTTTACGTGGTTAAAAAAATTACTGCTTTGCTTTCGGCAACTAATTTTCGTTTATGTAAATTTCCTGATCAAAGATCTAATTTCGGCCAGAATTTTGAGATCCTGTGTGATATTTACGACAATTGTGGTGAAAATAATATAGACTTCAGCTTCGATTTTATGCCTAGTGCAACTAATTTACTTCTTACATAGCTAACTAGGCGCATTAATGACATAGTTCAGGCTAACAAATTATAGCTTTTTCAATACTGTCGTCGGATAATAAAAATTACAAATATAAGTCAGTTAAGTAATACTTTTTCAGGCTCAACTGAAATATGGGGAGATTTTGCTTCTATTAAACTAATTGGAACTCATAAAATCAGCGTAAAATTCACGATAATTAATACAATAATCAATCAATACATAATAATGTACTCTGTGTATTGGCAGAACAGAACCACCTCAGAACCACCTCAACTGCTTCCAGCAGTTACATATTGTAATTGTAAAACAAATCCAGCAATTACGTCATGGAACATAGAATTGAAAACATAACCTCTTTTGTCCATGATAAATTGACTTATTTTTTATATATTACAGAAAAATTAATGACGATTGAAATAAGACTTTGCTTGCCAGGAGCCCGAATCTCTGGATCATTTAGAATCACGGTTGATCATTAATCGATCAGGCTATTAAATCGGGGTACCAAAGTCGCTAATCAAACTCGAACTATTACAATTAAGGCCAACACGATTTCATATATCATATGTTTGATATAGATGATATGTATGATGAAAATTCCTACAATTTCGTACACAGGTTCAACTCACCTTGTCTCCTTGACTTGATCCACGCAAACGTTTTAGCCGTCATTCACTGCAACGTAGCAGACGAGAGGGCTGGGTGAGCGCTTATTAACTACGCAATAAAATACTCCACATAATTTATCAAAATCTAGCATTCGTTGAAAAGTCAAGAAACTGTGACTTTTATTTCAATGTCTGGGCACGAAAAACGTGATAATTTTAATTTGGTCAATATCTGTAAAGTTAAACGATGGCTCTGAGATTGAAGACTGACAAAAAACCGAACTGTTTTAGTTTCTTCTAACGCTGATGTCGGATTGTACAGTAAATCATTCAAACCTAATTTATCCGAAATTAATCACGTAGGCGACTAATTAATCACATAAGTGATTAATTAATTACGTAAGGGAGTAATTACTAATCACGTAAATGATTAATCATTCAGTAACTTTACCCGATTCTTAGTCTCATAAAGGACTTTTCAAACTAGATTAATGGCAAGCTCACTGATCAATTCCGGTTTGATTTTGGATAGATATGATCTATAACTCGTTCAATTACAAATCTTATGAAATTCAATTCAAAAACAAAACAAAAAATTCAAATCAAAACCTTCTATCTTTCACATGAAAAGCAAATAAAAAACCATGGCCACGTGTGCAGTGTTTGCGTGAGTGTCATGACAGGTGAAGCTAAATCATTTGGACATCCAAGAGATTAAAATCTCGTGGACGAGAATTCCGTGAGAGTTTCGGTAAAGTCCGAGCGAAGTCTTATCGCGGCATCCACCACTCCACGGGAACGCTTATCACAATTGCAGTCGAGCGCGGCCCGAAATATCAGGATAAATCTTCCGAGGGACTACACGGTTATATCTTATTTCTTTCGTTGGATTAGATTTCACTAATTATACCGCGTTGGTTTATCATAAAAAATAGTTCAAATATCACGAGTAAAGGTATTTTCGCGCGTTACGCGGAAGTCACTACACGGTCACAGAATTAGCTTTGGCAATCCCATTACTTTGCTCACGAATGAAAAGTTTCATGGGTCTCTATAAAACGGGTCACTTTGAAAAAAAACTGCACTCCGTGTGTCCTCCACGTATAAGGACTTCAAAACATGCGCTCACTGGCACATAGATTTTCTTGCAGCACTCTACGTGCGGCTGAGCACGAACTGCCGGCTCGCTTTAGGATGCAGCGCGAGTGCGACGCTCCGGAGGTAGTGTTGGGTTCGCAGGAAGGACAGATCCCCCGCAAGGGCCTGAGTGCCACTGACACGAGGTTTACCCACACGACGATGAGTGTGGGTGGGAGGGAGAAGGAAGCAAGGATCAGGTACCATCTACAGTCCTCCCACGGAACCCTCTGCCTCCTCCTCCTCCTGCCGACAATCTGACCCTTGGCCCCAAAAAAACGCCTTCCGAGCCTTGCTGAGCTGTCCAGCAGCTCTATAGGCTCCTCCTTCCTGCATAATTCCACTACTTACTTGCTAAACTCCCTTTTGAAAATAATCGTGCTGCTAATAGGTAAGGCAGTTGAACAGATAAATTACATTTATCATTCATTTCCCTTCACTTCCTGTCTTACTTCCTCGCTTTCTACCACTGCTACCGATAACCCTTTATTAGGTTGTATTCGCGGTAATGTTTATATGTCTGAACTTATTGTTTAGTCATAATCCGTTTCGTGAATTAACCTTTCAACTTGATTAGTTTTGGATCAGTTACCCTTGATCATGATCATGCATCCGTTATGACCTCAATGGCTAAAGGATTGTGGCCTGAATAGAAAGCGCCGACCAACAGATCACAACTACTGCTCAAAATTTCAAGTCAAGATTTTTCTTTCAAGGAAGTAATATACTTTTCAGAATAGCGCGACTGTTACCATTTGAGGCAGAGACAGAATTTTTTATTTTAATTCATGACTTTTTGTGATTTTTGTTATTTAAATTCCTGCTTTCAATCGGAGAATAACTGGTTTTCTCATCTTGAAACAAATCTTTAACCTTGAAGCAGTAACTTGAATAATATAGATTTATTAAAGATATCCATCAGTAAAATTTATATTTTCTTGGCAAAATTCTGTTCTTTTAAGGAAATATATAGGGAAAAATTATTCATATGCAGCACGAGCAGTCCGCGTGATCACAAAAATGAATAATATCTCATTAAATATTGAACTATTTACTGTAATTTCAATAAATTCCTATTCAGTCTAAAGCTCCGGAGAAATGGGCTTTATTTCTTTGATATATTATTGGAACAAATACACGCAAAGAGTTTTATAAATGATGAATATTTAATTATAGTCTCCGTAGATTGCTGGTTTTTATGAATTTTTTTATGATAATATTTTTATTGCGAAATAAAAATGGTAGCAACAAATGCTACAAAATCTGAAGGCGTTTCATATGAATTCAAATTTCAAAAGATCTTCATAAAAAAATTTCAATGTTAAAATTTTTTAATGACGTTCATTAGCACACAATAAGAAACAAAACTTAACGCGTGAAGTTCCAATTTAGCTTGAGAGCGTTGAGGAATGGAACAATTTCCAATGAATCAAAAAGACCAGCAAAATATATGCACAAGATTGTCCTCATGTCCACTGAAGACCAGTTACAGAGCCTACCTCTAAGCGTGCTGCACCAATAGCAGCAGCTGGAGCGGCCGCTATATCCTCCAGCCTAAGCGGCATCACGCGAATTCCTGCTGTCCCGTCTTCGCCCTGGGGCGGCAACAGCCACGTTGGGCCAGTCAGTCTCGGGCAGATGGCACTGCAAAGGTCACTTGTGTGCACATGAGTTGAATCTGCTAACCTACCTACCCATCGTACCTAACTACCTATGTACATACCTACCTACTTACCACCACAGCAATCCTCATGCATGGTCAACCTAGCCGCGACGAAGAGAAAATTTTAGAATCTGCTAACCTACCTACCCATCGTACCTAACTACCTATGTACATACCTACCTACCTACCACCACAGCTATCATCATGCATGGTCAATCTAGCCGCGATTTACGGAAAAATTTAGAAACGCTGGAAAACTACCAACCTACCTACCATAGCTATTCTCCTACATGTTTTACCTAGCCGCGATGCAGAAAAAAATTAGAAACGGGGAAAAACGACCTACCTACCATGGTTGAACTATTAGTTCAGCCATGTACTTATCACAGCTGTCGTGAATGGTCCGCCCAAACCTTGATGCACGAAAAAATGTCTAGGGATGAAAATTAGGGAAATATCTTGTATATTGATAACACGTCGCCAACAACAATGGCCGTCAATCAACCACATAATTAGATACAATGTTCTTATAAATGACATTCAACAAATTATCATGTATCTCTATAACAATGATAAATGACATTCAGCAAATTATGATTACAATTACAAATGACATATTATGCATTCGAGATTGTTTGCAGAGGGACTTTCTGGCTCGAAATTTTTGTGTTGTATAATATTTACGTGTATTATGTACTTATGTCCAACAAAACTTCATTGCTCAATGCTTCTCCTAACTTGAAAATTAATGTTGTTACATTCAAAACATTGTTAATATATTATTGTTACTTGCTAAAACTGCCTTCTGATCTACCAACATCATCTCAAGAATTGTTCGACTCCTTGAAAATTGTAATGCATTCTTTGCTCATTAATCGCCGCATATAAACATGAATATTTATTTATGTATAAATGATACGTCAGGATATTATAACTTTTTCTCGAATTTCAACTGATTGAAAAAATTGAAGTTAAAAATGGCACTTCGAATTTTGCTGTAACCATGCAACTCTTTCATACGTGTCGTAAAATTTCTGTTGTAGCGCCCACATATACATTGTATTCCGTACTATAGTTTCTACTAGTAAGTTACTTCGCTGTAGAACTAATGACCATCATTAGAATTGACTCGGCTCTTGTACGTTCAAGTCCTAGTACTACTGTTCTCCTTCTAAATATTCTACTAGATAGTTTCTATTGAATTTTGGTACAAATGAAAATTAAAGAAAAATGAAACCGTTGAAACCTTTATTAAAGTGGTTCCGCACAAAGAAGAGGTTCGCAGAACGAAGCTTTGAGGAAACGATAAGCTCGATGTTATATTCTCTGTAGTAGAATACGTATAAGTATAGGTTTGAACTTTAGAAGTCGAGAACACATTATTGAATTTCAAATGAATGAGTCACTATTTCAGGTTGAACGTCTCTCTCTCTCTCTCCAATTCTTACCATATTGCCGGTGGCAACAGAACGTAACAATTAAGGATGAGCGGCAGCTTAAATAAACAGAAGCGGCAGGGCTGATGCCCAGTATGACAGTAGAGTTGGTTGGGTGGATTCTTCTCTGAACGAGATGGATATACAGTTTAAGCCTAATAACAACGAATTCAAGTTATAACGCTATGGATTTCAATATGATCAAATAAAATCAGAATAATAACACATCAAGATAATCAAAATAATTAACCTATTTGTTTCCGTTGAGGAATCCTAGACAAGAGTTCTCATGTAGAGAACTATGCATAAGAAAGGAATCAGTGAAAACAGTAATAGGAGTGTTCATTCGCTCGTACTTAGAGGGAGTTCAGCGCATGCAAGCATGCAAGTTAATTCACAGGACATAAGGCAAGTGACAAAAATCGGTTAAATTCCGAAGCTCCAAGGAGCCAATAACCCTACGGGTTTCAACCACTGACATGAAGCCAGCACAGTAAGATCTTAAACGAGCGAACACAGAAGTGCTAACATGCATTTAAATGGAACAAAACAAAATGAAAACACACGCGCACAAACACAAATTAAGGTATAGAAAAGAACACGAGTAGTAGTACGGTTTGAGCAGGAGGTCTGCATCACACAGGGAAGGTTCAAGTAATAATAAATACGATCGAGCTAATAAGCGCCGACTTCGCCTCCTAACACGAGACAAACGATAAGCGTATATAAACAATAATGACGTAATTAGATAACAAATTTTAAAATTTCTTTCTGTGCAAGTTCTTCACATATGAATATATGCCCATAATGTTACCGTTTTTCCTGTTTTATATATAGTAGTGTTATTTTATTCCAGGATTTTGCGTTCTTGTTGAATAAATCACTTACTGAGTCAACTCATCTTTCGCTAACGAGAATACGAACCTTGTGTAGCATTGCGTTGCATTATGTATATTAATACCGAATATCGCCTTAAAAATCAATGTACAGAAATCTTGCCCAGAATGGCTCATAATTTGTGCGGACGATGAATATCTAGAAATTAATACTGACCACGGTGAGGAAGCCATTACAACATTAGACATTAAATTTGTTGTATTCCTATAATTAGGAATCAATTAATTAATTCTTCGCTTCCACTCATAGATGTCAGACAATTAACAATTTGCTCATTAATTCCTCGCTCATGCTAGCTACGAACGACGTCTGTATACCGCATGTTCCAATTAAGTAGCATAGTGGTAAGTCATTCATGTAGCTTATGTTCCAAATACAATATATGTACAGCTTGAAAAGATATCATTACTTGTAATGTAAAAGATTATTTTGATAGGCTCTAATTATCGAAGGTAACGCCAAGCTGCGATGTTCGGTTAAATCGCCAATACAGAAAATTTGTTCGACGTTTTAACTGCCTTCCATTGATTATAACCCTGCAAAAAACTGTTTATTACGGTCTTTATTGTTTCCATGAAGATCAAGTGAATTTTTAATTGCGCGCCGTGACCGAAAAGATGGTCTAAATGGCCCTCAGGAGGCTCGGGTGAGGGAAGACCTCATCTCACGCTATGACCGCATGATCCACGACATTAGTCAGCCGTAGCGCCTTCCTCCTACAGTCAGGAGTCCACCTATTAGTCAGCATGAGTGCCTGATGTGCTCCTCATGCAGGGTATCCTACCTATCTAGCTGATGCAGGAGGTGTTTCCAAGTATGTGCTGCACACGCCTCCTCCCACCCCCTTGCTCTCCAGTCACGTTCTCGCGGTGTCTCCTGAATTCCCACACCCACCTTTATATTTTAATAGCCCCTTCTTTAGCTTCGGACGGTCGAGGCTATCGAAAGCATGCCGAATGATTAC